TTGCTAGAAAAAGCTAACTAATCCGTCGTAGATTGTTTTAGAAGGAATCTCGGCGCCCACAAGCAAGTTTCCACTAACGTATGATTAACAGTAGGAGAGAGATTCTTATACAATTTTTTAAAACTTATATATTCATAATTTGCACTATATAAAAATCAGGGTTGTAACGCAGTTACTTTGTTGATCATTACTTTGTTATAATAACCATTTGATAATGATATTGTGAATTTTTTATGATGGTAATAGTAACATCAGAGTTAAAAAAATAAATCATTACTGACAAGTAATGAAAAGGTTGAAAAAGTCATTCGTTATTGAAAAAAATAATTCCTTTTTCCATTAATTTGTAACGCGTTACTTTTTTACTCGTATTTCTTGTAACAAGTAATATTACGCGATTAATTTATTAGTTTTTTTAGTAATGACAAATTACTTTTCAAAATAATTTGTCATTTTCTAATCTTAGCACAATCTTAGCATTTAATTAGCATTACTGTCATAAAAAATTGCATCATCATCAAATTGTTTACTATATAAAGTAATGGCAAAATAACTGAAACATTTGTCAACCCTGATAAAAATCATATGTATTAGCCCCCTATGCTCCTCTTGACTTTCGGTCTTGAATTTTCCTAAATTCAGAAAAATGTAATACGAAGGAAAAATGTAATTAATATATTTATGTAGAATATTCAAGACTACTTAATAGTAACAGAATAAAAAAATAGAACCTAACATATTTTTAATATGTTTGTGACTTATTTAGTTTCAACAAGTAGAATTGGCGTGTCTAAATATCTCGAATATCTTGCTATTCAGAGGGCTAAAAATATAACACAAAATTAACAATATGATATTTTTAATAACGTGATAATGTTTATCATAGTTTCCCTACACTGTTGTTTTCTTGCTGCCTGCAGCAGCATCACGCAATCGAAAGAAGAATTATCGTAGAGATTATCGTTATCTGTCATATTAACGCGATTTCACGTGAACACATCATCAAGTTGCCTTTATACGCAGTGTCCCTGAGTCGAGCTTACTGTGGGCAACACGATATTCACAACGCACTTAAAAGTTACCATTCAGCGTCCCCATTTGCCTTTTGGAACACATAATCTTTTCCAGATAGATTCATTATACCGTCCTTCAAATAAAATTTCCACTTATTCCGACTCCTTGTAATCTGAAAATAAAACGTTATCGTATTTGACTCCGAGTTGAAACATCGTAATGTAGAATATTACATAAACTTTATCGTAAACTTAAACATAAATCGCTATCTTGTACCTTATCGTACTGGCAGACGACTACATTATCGGTGTCGAAGAGATCAGCAGGATCATCGTCCGTAACATCATCTTCGGAATTAAGGGGTTCCTAATACAAATAATTCTTTTATGAGATAATCACTCAACTTATGTGAAATTTATTTATAAATATTAACCTCTTCACGAGCCGCAGCCTCATCGTTTTCTTCCTCCTCTTTCTCATCTATATCCTCATCATCATCATCATTGTCCTCTTCTTCCTCTTCATCGTCATCGTCAGTAGAATCACCAACTCCTCCGTCTAACTGATTTATATTATTTTGCTGCTGGAAAAATGAATAATGTATGGTATGTTATCTATATAATATATATATATGTATACGTGTAAG